ATGCAAAAGGCGCCGCTGCGCGCAGAGGAGGAAGAGGTGCTGGGAGTGGAGGCGGCGACGCATGCAAAGGCGCCGCTGCGCGCAGAGGAGGAGGAGATGCTGGGAGTGGAGGCGGCGACGCGTGCAGCGGCTCCGCAGCGCGCAGAGGAGGAGGAGATGCTGGGAGTGGAGGCGGCGACGCATGCAAAGGCGCCGCTGCGCGCAGAGGAGGAAGAGGTGCTGGGAGTGGAGGCGGCGACGCGTGCAACGGCTCCGCAGCGCGCAGAGGAGGAGGAGATGCTGGGAGTGGAGGCGGCGACGCATGCAAAGGCGCCGCTGCGCGCAGAGGAGGAGGAGATGCTGGGAGTGGAGGCGGCGACGCGTGCAGCGGCGCCGCAGCGCGCAGAGCCGGCATCACCGCCGCCGGTGGGGGAGGAACTGGGGGCTGTGGGCTGCGTCGTGCCGGGGGCGTCAGTTCCTCCTGCGCGTGTTGCCAAGGCACCAAGGAGGAATGGAACCCCGACTGACGAGCCACCGCAGAGTACGTCGGCCAGCGAGAGGGACGGTGTGCGGCGGATGCGGTGGGAACGCGTCGCAAGTGGACCAGTGGCGAGGTTTTTCCTCCACATTGAGCCCCGCACCAAGAGTACCGCGGAGCGCCCCGCGTCGACGGCTTACCAGCCGCTCCGCGTGCTTGACCACGACGGCGCGCGGGAGTTTGCTGTTTCCCCAAACACCAGTCGCCGAGCCTCCCGTGGGTTCGTCGGGTTCACGCCCTGCAGCAGTGTTCTCTGCGTGCGCATCGTTCCAACGACGCCGGAGGCGGGGCTGTGGTTTTCCGTGATGTGCGAGGAGGCGTGCTGCACGCGCCTCGACATCTGGCACTGCCCGGAGACGGCGGACGCGGACGCCGGCGCCGCCTTTTCCCTCCGCGGCCTTAGCGACGGCGCGGTGCCGGTGCGCAGTTACAGCGTACACGTGGGGCGGCACGTGGCGGTGTCCATGGACTGGCTCCCCGTGCCGCTGGACCGGCGGGACAACAACACGCTCGGCCTCTGCACCTTCATCCGGGGACGCTACCTCGTCTCCACGGCGCTTCCGCGCGGTGCGGCGGCGCACGGCGGGGGCCGGCGCCCCGGCGGCGGCAGCTGCTGCCCCAACGTGGCCGCCGAGGTCTGCGGGGCGACGCTGCTGCGGCGCGAGATGGAGCTCGCGGAGGTGCGGTGGAGCTCCACCGGCGGCGCCGTCGCCGAGACGTTCCTCTTCGCTATCGGCCGCTGCACCTCGGTGGTGGTGCTGCAGCCCACCGGCGACACCCACTCCGGCCGCCTGACGCTGCAGGTGGTGCACCACATCGAGGCGAAGGGGGTGGCGGGGCTCCCGTCGTTCGTGCCGGCCCCGCCCGTCGCTGTCGGGGAGGCGCATGGCGGCCACACGACGCTGGTGGTTGCCCACGGCACGAGCGTGGCGTGCTACCGGGCCCCGGAGTTCAGCACCCGCCTCTTCGTCGCAGTGGACGACGTGGTCTGCGCGCTGCGCTGCCACGGGCGTCGCGTGACGGTGGGCCTCGCGAGCGGGGAGGTGCTGGACGTGAGCAGCGGGACGCCCGTCGCGACGCTGCCGTCCCCGCCGCTGCTCATCGACCGCGTCGCCGGCGACGACGCCTGGCTCCTCGCGGACGCCGCGGGCGAGTGCACCCGCCTGCGCCACCGCCCGCAGTCGGAGACCGCGGCGCCGGAGACGGAGACGGAGTGCGTCCTCGCCCTCTCGCGCGTGCGGCGCGCGGCGGAGCAGCCGGCGATGTTACTTCTCGGCCGCGCAGGGACGCGTGCGGCGTGCGGCGGAGCAGCCGGCGGCGTGGCCGGCTTCGTGCAGCACCCCCTGCGGCACCTCCTGGCCGCGCGCGGCCCGCTGCTCGCCTTTTTCCCCGACGGCGCCTGGGTGCTGGCGCCGCAGTGACGCCGGCGCGTTAAAACTGCCTGCAAAAACAACAACCCCCCAAAAAAAACATCATATACAAAATACAGGAAAAAAGAAGCCAACAAACGAAAAGGAAAAACATGCGGGTCCAGAAAGAGAGAGAGAGAGACAGAGAGGAGGTCGGTGGGAGCCGCAGAGGCGGCGGCGGGGGGGTTGAAAGGAGGCGAGTGCGGCGTTGAACGTGTGTGTGTGTGTGTGAGGGAGAGAGAAAGAAGGAGAGGGCGCGGTAAAGAAGGCGGGTGCGTGGGGCGGAAGGCCGGTTTTTATTATAAAAACAAAGAAGAAGAAACAACAACGACAAGAAGGGCCCCGCGTCGCTGCACTTCCCATTCCTCGCCCCGTCTCCGCCGCAATAATTCCCTCTGCCGCACCGCACACCGGCGTTTTGTTTTGTTTTCCTCCTCGCTTTTTTTTTTGTATTCGTCCTGCGTATTTTTATTTACTTTTGTTGGCGGGTTTCCGCCCGGGGCCCAGCGGGGTTGGCGGCGGCGCCGCCCTCCTGACGCACTGACTGACTGCCGTCTCTCTCGCTTCTTCCCCGCCCTTCTCGTTTGCCCCGCACACACGCACAGGGACCGAAGGAAAACACACGCAGAGAGAAAGAGAGAGCGATACCCGCGGGCAGTAGGGGCGTGTCTCTGTTTCGTTTTTTTTTTTTGCGCTTCTCACACGCACCTATTCGTTGCGGCGGCCGCCACCACGAGGTTTACGCCCTGCGTCCGACTGATGATGCCCCCCGCCCTTCCGTCGCGGCTGGAGAACTTTGTGCGGGCGGAGTTCGAGGACACCTGCCGCCGCCGCTTCTTCTTTGGGCTGGCCTTCGACCCCTACGGCGGGGCGGCGGGGCTCTACGACATGGGCCCGCCGCTCTGCGCGATGAAGGCGAACCTGCTCGCCCACTGGCGCCAGCACTTTGTGCTGGCGGAGAACATGTGCGAGGTGGACACCACGTGCCTGACGCCGGAGGAGGTGTTTAAGGCCTCCGGCCACGTCACGCGCTTCAACGACGTCATGGTGCGGGACACCGTCACGGGCGAGTGCATCCGCGCCGACAAGCTGCTCGAGGAGTACTGCGAGGCGCAGCTGCGGGAGGCGCCGGCGGGCGCACGCGCCGACGCCGACGCCGAGCAGCGGCGGCAGGAGCTGCTGACGCTCCGCAACGCGGCGGCGGGCATGACCCCGGCGGAGATCCAGGCGGCGGTGGCGCGGCACGGGGTCGCCTCGCCGAAGGGCCACCCCCTCAGCGAGCCGTTTCCCTTCAACCTCATGTTCGCCACGAGCATCGGGCCGGAGGGGGACCGGGTGGGCTTCCTGCGCCCGGAGCTCGCCCAGGGCATCATCCTCAACTTCAAGCGCCTACTTGACTCCGGCAACGCGCAGCGCGTGCCCTTCGCGGCGGCCTGCATCGGCGCCGCCTTCCGCAACGAGATCGCCCCCCGCGCCGCCCTCCTGCGGGTCCGCGAGTTCACCCTGGCGGAGATCGAGCACTTCGTCAACCCCGACGACAAGCGCCACGAGCGGTTCGCCGCCGTCAGGGACACCGAGTTCTGGGCGTGGTCGCGGGAACTGCAGGCGGCCAACGCGGAGCCGGTCCGCATGACCGTCGGCGACGCCGTGGCAGGCGGGGTCATCGACAACGAGACGCTCGGCTACTTCATCGCCCGCACCGCCCACTTCCTCGCGGCTGTCGGGGTGCGCCTCGTCCGCTTCCGCCAGCACCAGCGCAACGAAATGGCGCACTACGCCCAGGACTGCTGGGACGCCGAGCTGCTCACCTCCTACGGCTGGGTGGAGTGCGTGGGCATCGCCGACCGCTCCGCCTACGACCTCACGCAGCACAGCGCGGCGAGCAAGAAGGACCTGTTCGCCCGCGAGGAGTTCGCCGAGCCGCGCAGCGAGCGCCAGCTGCAGCGGAGGCTGCAAAAGGGCGCCATCGGCAAGGCCTTCGGCAGGAACGCCGGGGAGGTGATGGCGTACCTGACGGCCGCGCCAGAGGCGGACTGCGTCGAGCTCGGCGAGCGACTGGCGGCCGCGGGCGGCGCGGAGATCACGACGGCGTCCGGCTTCACCGCGACGCTGCGGCCGGAGATGGTGCAGTTCGAGCACAAGACGGTGAAGGTGACGGGGCGGAACTACATCCCCAGCGTGATTGAGCCCTCCTTCGGCGTCGGCCGCATCCTCTACGCGCTGCTCGAGCAGAGCTACTGGGTGCGCCGCGACGAGAGCGCCAAGAACGAGAAGCGCGCCGTCTTCAGCCTGCCGCCGGTGATCGCGCCGCAGAAGGTGGCGGTGCTCCCGCTGCTCGTGAAGCCGGAGCTGACGACGGCGGTGGAGGCGATCCGCGCGGAGATGGTGCTGCGCGGCCTCTCCACCCGCACCGACGACAGCGGGGCCTCGATCGGGAAGAAGTACGCCCGCGTGGACGAGCTCGGCATCCCCTTCTGCGTGACCTGCGACTTCGAGGCGGACGGCTGCGTCACGCTGCGGGAGCGCGACAGCGCCCGGCAGGTGCGCGTCCCGCGCGCGGAGGTCGCCGACGTCGTCGCGGCGCTGAGCCGCCCGCTGCAGCCGCGCGAGTGGCGCAGCGTCGAGGCGGAGTTCCCCGCCCAGGCAGCCGCCGCAGCCGCCGCGTAGTCGCTGGCAGGCAGGCCGGCGGCGTGGGCGTGGGCGTGGGCGGGTGGCTCCGCCACTGACGGACGAGCAAACAAACGGAAAACAAACAAACGAACGGAAGCACGGCGGACACGGGCACGCCTTAATCAAGAGACACGAAGGAACAAATAAACATAACGAAGGACGTGTGTATATATATATATATATGTGTGTGTGTGTGCCTGAAGAGAGAGAGAAAGGGAGAGTGGCGTGGGCGGCAGAGAGCGGTGGTGGTGGTGGTGGCGCACACCACACCCCGCCGTGCGTGCGTGTGCGACTCGCTCCTTCTCGCTGCCTGCCGTCCACGCACGCCCCCTGTGTTTTTTTCCTTCTTTTTTTCCTTCGTGCGCTCCCTCCGACTGCTGGCGTGCCTCTCCCTCCCTCTCTCCCTTCCCCTCTCTCTGTGCGGGGTGGTGGGCCCGGAAGAAGAAGAAGAAGAAGAAAAGGAAACCCGCAGGGGGGCGGCAGTAGCGCGTAGGGAAGCCAAACCCGCGAAGCGAACGGTGAAGCGGCGACAACCGCAAGGCGCAAGGAAAAAGAAGCAAAGAGAAAAGGAACGATAATAATAATAATAAAAGACAGGAAGAGAAAAAGAAAAAGAAAAGGAAGAGAAGAGGCAGCAGCAGCAGCAGAAAAGCGGCCAGCGAAAGGGAATGTTTCGCCGTCTCTTTGGTAGAGGGGAGGCGCAGGAGCGGCCGCGCGAGGGCAAGCCGGCGGGCGCCCCCGGCTCCGTCTCCCAGACGCTGGAGAAGCTCGACTCCGCCTTCGAGCTGCTGGAGAAGCGGGAGGGGGTGCTGGAGAAGAAGATGGAGGCGGAGCTGGCCAGGGCAAAGCAGTACTACGCAAAGAAGAACACGCAGGCGGCGATGCAGTGCATGAAACGCAAAAAGGCGTTCGAGGAGCAGCTGACGAACATCGCCGCGCAGAAGCAGAACCTGGAGACGCTCAAGTTCACGCTGCAGAACCAGAACATGAACAACGAGCTGCTGGATGTGCAGCAGCGCGTGAAGCAGGAGCTGCGGGAGCGCAACAAGAAGATGGACGCCGACCGCGTAGAGGACAACATGGAGGAGCTGCAGGAGGAGATGGAGAAGGCCAACGCCGTCGCCGAGGCGCTGCGGCAGCCGCTCGACAACCAGCCGCTCGACGAGGAGGAGCTCATGAAGGAGTTCATGGCGGAGCTGCACACCTCCGCCGCCCTGGAGGGGGCCGAGGCGGCGCCGGAGAAGAAGGAGTCCTCGCCCGCGCTGCCCGCGATGCCGAGCGTGCCCGCCAGCAAGCTGCCCAGCGCCAAGACGCGGCAGGAGGAGGAGGAGGAGGAGGCGCTGCGGGCCCTCGAGGCGGAGCTGCAGTCGTAGTGCGGCGGCGCCCGGGTTTCCTCCTCCTCCTGCCCGTTCCGTTGACTCCTTTGCGTTGCCTGCGCGTGTGCGTCGGGGTTTCCCCCACCAAAAAAAAAAAGAAAGCAAAGGCAAACAACAACAACAACAACAAAGCGTTCAACACGGATGAAAAGGAAGAGACTGGGAGGAGAGAGACGGAGGCCGGGGGGCGGCGGCCGGGACACCGCAGAAGAAACGGGGAGCGTGCGGCGCCGCCGGTGTGTGGACGACGCCGGGGCACGGCGTGTGTGACGCGTCGCCGTCCCGCCTTTTAAAAA